CCCGGTCCGTGAATTAATTAATCCAATTAATTAATTCGGGATTATAAATAAGAAATTCAATTAATTAATTTATCCAACGATTGTTAAATTAATCAATTAACAATTTGCAGTCTTCCAATTCTCTTTTTTGTGCGACCCATTAGGTTCCCGACCACGATACCTAACGACGTGAAATATTATTTTGATCTAATCAAAATTGATAAATTAAAACACCCTTTTAATTTATCGTCAATTCACACTCGCCGTCCGTGATTGACATCTAGCAATGTGTTAGGGCAATGCATGTGGCGTGAATGTCACGTGGTATGACAAAACCAAATTCGTTCGTTTACCGTGAAACTATAATCCCTTCGTCAATATGATCCGATCAATTACGAGATATGGAAGTGTGTCAATCTCGATTATCGATCATATATTTCACTCCACTATTAAGTCAATATAAGTCGAAAACTCCTTTTCGACTTATGAGTACACTTTGGCCAAAGATTTCATCATCGACTTAATTGAATGAAACGCAGATCATAATCTCCTACTATCTAAGAGTGACGAATCCTTTATTAGTGAATCACAACCTTCATATGATTCTTGACGTACTCGAACGATGTCGTATTAGCGGCCCTTTGCAGAACAACATCCAACACCGTCAAAGTATGACTGTTCTCATATAAGGTAACATGACGACCTCAAGTCAAAGGACCAATTTTATTACCGAACATTAGAAATTAACCACTGACACTCAGATAGTTATTCATGTGGAATCTCTCTGTGGGTCTATTCTATAACAAAATGTCCACGTGTTCATTTAAGTGTCACCACACTTTAACTTATGAGATCAGCTACTTATTTCACAAGTAAGAAATGCCACACGTGATGGTCTATCCGTAACAATGATATCCGTATCTCGTTATTACTTACGACCACGGACGATTTAAGATTCAATCAAATGTAATTTGTATCTCACAATCACAACTCTTTGTGATTAATAAATTACGAAGATTTAAATCTACGGACTTTATTATTTATTTAATTGTCTATTAATTAAATAATGGATCTGCCGTTTAATTGCATTAATCATATATATATATCAAAAGTATTTATGTCCAAAGTTAATTGGACTTAGGACATAATACTTACACACTGTGCAAGTACAGATTCAAGAGAAAAATGAGTAGATTGCAACATCCAGGTAGAATAGCCTATGAAGTGACTGAATAAACTATTTCAAAAAATTTCAAGCAATCACATTAAACAACTACAAATGTCTTTTGAACTTGATGCGACAAGTCTGGTTAAAATAGATTTGGATTGAATGACTTATTACACCAGTGTGCCTCGTGGCCTAGAATAATGAGAAAGTACAACCTATTATTATCATAGATGGGTTTTGTCAGTGTCGAAATTTTGTTATTAATTATCGCTTGTTGGAGGGTAACGAGAAGGAGACTAGAATAAATTGACCTCCATCAGGTCTGAGGCAAGACCATAAGCTAGAACTAAGTGAAGTATATAATCTCTGTCCTCGATTAACCACTTGAAGGAAAAGGAAAAATGAAAATCTTCGTCCATCAACTACCGATAAATCTTGGGCATATGCAAAATAATTAACAAAGAAGATAACAAACTAAAAAGTGCTTATCAGATTGGGCAGAGCAGGAGAATCCCAATAATCAGAATGAACAAACCCAATAGAGCATCAGTATAATTAAAAGGCAAAGTTGATCGTACTTTTGCTAGTTGGGAAGGTATTCAATCGAAGGAATAATGTTTGGCACCTTTAATTTCAGGCTGAAATGAGATTTAATATGGAACTAGAAGGAATCTAAGCGAACATCAAGTAAAAGATGAATAGTTGGAGCTGTTATTGACATTGATCAAAATTGAATGTCGCGCTAGTATGTTCCAACAATCTTCCCTCTTTAAGACCTGTTCGACTGCTCATGTTCTTCTTTGAACATCAATTCTGATTTCACAATGTGGATTTTTACGTATATCTAAGTACAACTAATTGCCACAATAGGTTCATTTGATGCACATAATTGGTGACATTAGAAGAATGGAATTTGAAAGAGAAAAGTGAGGAATGGTCATTGCGATCGCAACAACTAAAAGTTAATAAGCAAGAACTGCTTCGAATGAATGACAGAAGATCTCCATTTCTTATAAAAGAGTAAATGAGCAAGTGTAGTGTCTCCAATTGAGTTTATAAATGGTTCGAAATCTATTATATGACCACACTCAGTTTCCGAATTGATAAATTGTTTGTAGATATATTTCATCTGAAAGAAGAAATCCTATATATAGACAAGATATTTTGTTTTTTCATATCATGTGAAGCAGATGTAAGTTGTAATGAGGATGATCCACAACAACAAAAAAATCCATTCTGGTGCAAACCTTTCTTTTATTATTCTTTATGCAATAGTTTTCCACTTCTTGAATTTCTCGTCTAAGCAAACTTGATTCCTACCGAATGTCCTCAAGCTACAAATGATTTGAAGTGGGCTTATTTGTCTGCCCTTGGACCTTACTTCGAGCAGCATGGGAGTTATATTACTTCGATGTCAAATAATCCATAGCAACCACCACTTGAGTCATGGTAGGCCGAGATGGGGAATCATCTCTTACACACATTAATACGACATCAATGACCTCACAGAACATGGATTCTTGAAATTGTCCTTCCAGTTGTGGATCAGCCAATTGCACACAGTTCTTGCGATCATTCAGAAAAGGACGTGCCTACAAATATATAAGGATGATTATAGCGATCATATAAATAAAAATGAAGACCAACATGAATATCAAATAATTTCAAGAAAATACATCAGAGCCAAATGCATAAGAAACCTTTGGCTCTGCACAACCTAATGATACAGAATGAGAGGGAGACAAACAGAAACAAAGAAGAGAGAAGAATTGGATGGACAAACTCAATCAGTCAATATCTTAGTAATCAATTCAATAATGGACATAAGAAGCAGATATAAGGTTTTGAAGCTTTTCAAATTACTTGCAGTTTCCCATAATCAGCAATTCTATAGGCATTGAATATTTTACCCAATTAATAAGTGTATGCTTCCCGATTTCACGAGTATCATCTACTGCTCTACGTCCAGTGATTATCTCCAACAAGACTGCCAAAACTATAAACATCTGTCTTCATTTTAGGTTTTTCAGTTGCAGCATATTCAGGTGCAAAGTATCCATAAGTACCCATGGCCTAGTGGTAACATGAGACTTATCCTCACGTGGACCAAACTTTGCAATTTCGAAATCAGAAAGTTTAGGGAGGAACCCTTCATCCATCAATATATTAGATGATTTCAAGTTTCCGTAAATGACTGGTGGATTCGCCTGGTGGTGCAGGTAACTCAAACCCTTAGCCATACCAGCTGCAACTTTCATTCTCGTATTCCAATCCAGGGGTGGCATGTCAGGTGTAAGATCTGCACAATGACCCTAGCTTCTAATATTTATTAAAGAAATTCATAAATTTTTCGTAACAATCATAAGGTGAATAAAATTCAAGAGCACAACGATGACTAAAATGACAACATCCACATCGAATAACCCTTCTAAAGCTACCAAATAAACTATTCCAAAAATTCAAAAGGCAATCATCACATTATACAAATTGTAACTACTTGAAAGGAGAAATAAAAATCAAGGTGTCCAACCAATAATTATACTGAAAATCTCTCACACAAAACGGGACAAACCATAAATAGTTACAAATGTCTTTTGAACTTGAAGCAACGAGTCTGGTTAAAATGGATTTGGACACAACCTATTACCATCATCTTAGGGGTAGGGGTGGTTTTGTCAGTGTTGAAATTTTCCCCATAATTATCACTTGTTGGAGGGTAACATGAAGGATATTAGAACAAAGTGATCTCCATCAGTTCTGTGGGAAACCATAAGGTAGAATTGACTGAAGTATACAATTTCTCTGTCCCTCACGCTCACTAGGAAAAAGAAGAAATAGAAAAGCCTGAAAAGGAGATATATCGCCATACTATTGCAAGGTTGCAGACAAAAATCTACAATATATCAGAGTAACAAATATGAGAACTGCCAAGAATTGGCAAGCTCCTAAATATTAAGAAAACATGTGAGCTGTTGTAATGTGACATATAGTGGCAATCCTCGAGTTTCATCAGATGCCTTGGTATAACAATGACATCCAATAGTCTTTTGTGCATAAGTAGATATGGGATCAGAACCAAAAAGGAATAAACTGTTGTCTCAAAAGCACTTTCTAAACATATTGTTCTATAATCAGATGTTCAAAGGATGCATTATCAAGAAAAGGAATTTGATTAGCATGTATTATACAGTTCTCACCATCGATGCCAATAGCTGCCAACAACTGCCCACCTTCTGCAGATTTTACGAAGCATCCATCCAACCCAACAAAAAAACCCCCCCCCCCCCCCCCCCCCCAATCACAGTAACCGACCAAATTGACAAGGTTAGAGTGACGCAGCTGAGAAAGCATGAGAACTTCCCCCAAAAACTCCTTGTCCCCGTGTAAACCATTTGATCAAGTCTTTTAATGGTAACAATGTGACAATAGTTACAACATGTTATATACTCATGTCTATCGTAATTTTGGAAATTATGGAAAAAAAAAAAAAAAGGTCAATCCAAATATGGTCATTTTAATCTCTGGTGAAAGATTACCTGGCCAGTGCCCTCTATTTTCCCTTTGTATACAGGCCCATAGCTACCTTCTCCAATGAAGGATCCTCGCCTGAAATGGTTAGTTGCTGTTGCGAGCTCACGAAAAGAGAACGCCATAGCATGACTTTTAGATTGATTAGCAGCATCCTCTGAGACGGAGGAACAATGAACTAACTTTGGTTTTTTACTCATTTTCACTGCATGAATTTACCGAATGTTAGGCTTAGAATTGTGGGAAAGGAAGAAGCAAGATAAACAATTAAACATCACAACCATAGAAATTTAGTCACGGCTCATGTGTATTTTGCAGAAGTAATCAATTCTGAATTTTTTATCCATGAGAACTTATCAAGATTGCCATAAAGAATCCCAAGAAAACACATGCAATTACAATGCTGATAATAAAGAGGCAACACAAGCAATTTAAATCAAGAACCAAGGATTATAGACATTATTAATACAGAGACGACTGTGAGAAGAAATTTAGTAGAAATCCGTACAGGAGCATCCTCTTGAAAGATGATACCCACAATCAAAGAACTCTCTTGAAGATTAAACACAATTCTTGAATTTGAAGAACACTTAGTAGACTAGTCTGCCTAATTCAGGCTGCTGGTGAAAAATGATACGGGGGAACTGCAATAACGACTTTCAAACTATGTCAACTAAACGAAACTGTTTCTTAAAAAGAAACAAGTTAAAAACGCGTGCACTTTAGTTTGTTACAAAACATGTGTTGACACATAAAAATTCAGCCCAAATCGAACGGTCCAAGGAATGAAGCTCAATTGGAGGATCCCCAAATCAGATAGCCCAAAGAACGAAGCCCAATCAAACAATTCAAGGTGAAGGCCCAAGTAGGGAGGCCCAAGAACGCGGTAACGCCATCGCCCAAGTTTGCAAGTCGCCCAGAATCTGAGCGAATGGAGTGCCGTGCAGTCGCCCAGAGTTGTTACTCTATTCTCGTCCAAACTTTCAAGTCGCCCAAGGTCTTAGCAAATATAAAGTGTTGTGGTTATTAAGAAGTGTAGTTATTAAAGCAGCCCTATCACGTTCCACGATTCAAGGAATTCAATCGAAAACGGTTGAACGACGAAGAGTAATGGCAGCAGTTAAAAAAGGCAGTTTCATGACAAGCTGGCCATTACGAGAAAAGTGGGCAGTTGTAGAATGATCAAACAGTTTTTAGGCGGTTGATCACAAAGAGATCATCCATGGAGTATAAAAGGGAGGAAAGACATAGAGCAAATGACCGAATCAAAGACTCTCGAACAGAGAACATGTAATTTTAATTTCCTTAGTTTAGACTTAAACACTTTTTTTAGTAACTCGTGTGCTTGCGCCCCTTGGAGGCGTTCTGTTTTTAATTTCCAATTGTAAAGTCATAGCCAATAAAAGAACACCCCTTTTTGAGACTTTGTATCAAGAGGTTTGTCCCTTACACAATCGTCTGATCCCTTTTAATTGTTAGCGACCAACCTGCGTGAAACAATTTGGCACGCCCAGTGGGACAGTAGTATTTGGTGTTGAAAATACAAAGGTGAAACAATATGCCTCAGAGATCCGATAAGGAAGCAGCAAGTCAGGGAGGAGTCCAGTCTGTGATCGAGCGATATGAGGAGCAGCATGTCTCTCCACGAACAGATGGACAGAATCAGAGCAGTAACAGTCGTTACGAACCAATGACGGAGTTGAGTTCTCGAACCATGCGTGCATTACTTGGAGAACTCATACAAGACGTTGTTGAACAGGTAAATCTTCGAAGTATTCATAATATGGAAAGATTTACCCAAAATGGGAATGCACATTATGACAATATGACCAAACAACTAAACACTTTGAACGAAATAATGAATAAGTTAGTAGGCCAAATATGTCAACCGGTTATACCTCTTGCAAATCACTTTCAAACTAGGACAATTGTGGGACATAATCCCTCAGTCCTAAATCCGAATCAAGGGGTAGAACCACTTTCTGGTACTTTTACTTCAAACCAAGGGGGTACTGCAGTGCCAAATCAGAACAATGGTAGTGGTACGCCTAACTTGGGGGGTAATCCAAACATAAGAGATAAGTCCTAAACAATAGACAGAATACCCCACATGTTAATGAGGGAATAGATGTTCAGGCTAATGGTAATGACCCTAATCATGGTAACTTTGTTGCCAATCAAGAACCAAACATCAAGCCTCATGCAAATCAACCGGTTAACTAGCCTGTAGGAATTCCATATGACCCCAACGTCATGTTGAGGAATCAGATTATGGAAATCGTACAGGATCAGATGGCTTTTGGGGTGGGTCCCGTCGTTAGGCCGACTTACACAAAGCCATATCCTGATTGGGTAGACCAAGCATATCCATGGCCTAGAGGGTACAAAGTTCCAGAATTCTCACTGTTTATCGATTTAGGAGAGGTGTCTACTCTAGAACACATAGGGCGATTCACATTGCAAAGTGGTGATGTAACCGATTACCATAAAATGAGGCTTTTCCCTAGTTCATTAACAGGAGTAGCTTTCTCCTGGTTCATCAACTTGCCAGCGAACTCTGTTCAAACATGACAACAATTGGAACAGCTATTTCACGCTCAGTTTTATAAAACTGAGTCTGAGGTCACTTTGGCTGATTTGGCGAATCTACGTCAAATGCCAAACGAATGGGTATAAAGTTTTCTCCAAAGGTTCAAGACAGCAAGAAGCAAGTGTTTTGTACCTTTCCCTGAAAAAGAATTTGTCAAAATCGCTCAGGGCTGCTTGAGCTTTGATTTAAAAAAGAAATTCCAGGACAAGAAATTTCCTGAGCTTTTCTAGTTGAGTACGAATGTGATTAGGTATGAACGACTGATAAGAGAGGAAGAACAGATGAAAAATTCTAGTAAAGGGACTTATTACAAAGATCCAAATTTTGACGTTCATACCATCAGCGACGAGTCATACGATCAGGCCGAAATGTGTTTGGCCGAATTGGTCAAAGGAGATACGTATACTTGTCCCATAATGGTCAAGCCTAGACTATCAGGCAAAGATGAGCCCATAAAAGATGGAAACATAAAGGCTAGAACGTTCTCGTTCGATGTAACCAAAGTTGACCTTATATTTGATAAATTATATAGGGATAAACAGATAAAGTTGAGCGATAAGCACAAATTGCCAAACCCTGAACAAATTAAGGGTAAAAAATATTGTAAGTGGCATAATGCATGGTCAAATTTGACTAACAATTGCTTGGTTTTTCGCCATGTATTGCAGAATGCCATTGAATCAGGACGAATTACGTTCGACGATAAGAAGAAGATGACAGTGGATGAAAATCCTTTTCCACAGCCACTTGGAGTGAACATGGTGACGTCTGGTTTCAAAAACAAGTTGCCAAAATTCAAGTTGGTCGTAGATGATGGAGAAGAGGATCCTAAACCACATCCCAGTGTCTTTGAACGAATTAAGGGGAAAGAACCAAAAAAGGACGAAGACGTCCTGTGTGCAAGATGTAAAAGAGAAGTGAATGGAAATACGGAGAAACCAGGGATATGGCAGCATCCCTATCGCCATACTTTCTTCCCAAACACTCAGCCTGGTAGAGGGCGAGGTACATCATTCTATAGAGGACCGCCTTTTGAGAGGCAGTTCAGGCCAGCAGATAATGGAAGAACATTCAGGCCGCAACCTCGCCGGCTAAATGTATGACATTCATTCCAGTATAATGCAGGAATGGCAATACCCTTCGATGAGATGACTAGAACCCAACAAAGGCGTTTCCAACGAAACTATGGACGAATGATGAGGCAGCAACAGGGAGTACCGCATCTTAAAGCGCCTAAACTATTCAAGGTAGCCAATCAAAATGTCCTCAAAGATAGTGAAGAGACCGGTACAGATGAATCAATGAAGGAATTGCCAGAAACTTCTTCTGGGAGATCAAAGTTTGAGCGGGACAGAAGGGATGGAGAAGATCCAGATCAGCCCCTTACTATCCAGTTCGGTACCTTACCTCCTGTCGTGGCCAATAATTACTTACTGGCCAATGAATTCAAGAATAAAGAAAAAGAAGAAGAAGAAAGGGAGGACAACGAAGGAGAGGCTTGCGTGCTGAAATGTGAAGAAGGTCAGACTTCTAGAGAGGCCTACAACGATGAAGAAGACGACGGGATGACAGATATTGAAGAAGAAATCGATCTAGAACCAGAAGGAAGAAAGAGAGGAGTATCGCGCAATACTCTGTTGAAGCAACTACATCGAGAGGGAGCTCGCGAAGTAGATTTGTTGGGAGAACCATCTGGGCGTCCTTTTGATTTCTACGTACTGTACGGGACACCCAAAAGGAAGAAGAGAGTGCCTCGCTCTGAAAAGTATGGATCTCCTCCAAGAATAATGCCCCTTCCCACAGGTTGGGTAACTGATGAGGAAGCATTAGAAAAAAGTAAGAAGGAAACTCAGGAGACAGAGGATCAATGCGATATGCTGCACGTCGACTTATCACAGGAGGATAATTCGACAGAAAATAAGCAGGAAGTAGAAATAGAGGCTGCTGAAAAGGTTATTTTTAAACGGCCAGCCATGAAATTGACTAAACACTTGAGGCCATTGTACGTTAAAGCTTTAGTTAACGGCATCCCTGTGGCAAAAGTGCTTGTCGACAATGGAGCAGCTATAAACACCATTCTATCTAGGATGATGAGGAAGTTCGTAAAGACAGAGGGTGACATGATTCCTACAGAAGTCATCCTTATGAGTTTCAATGGAGGAGCAACTTCGGCTAAGGGAGTTATGCCATTGGACATAACTATAGGGATGACTACTAGGACCACAGTCTTCTTTGTAATAGATGGTCCTACTAGTTACAATGTGTTACTAGGAAGAGATTGGATACACGAAAGTCGCTGTATACCCTCATCGCTCCATCAATGCCCGATCTTTTAGAATAACAAAGGCGAAGCAGAGGTGGTACAGGCTGATCATAGGCCTTTTGTCGCAGAAGCAAACTCGGTGGAAAAGTTCATGTACAAAGAAAACTATGGACCTGTCAGGGTAGTACAAGATGGGGAAGAAACTCAAGTTGTCGCGCAAAGCGAAGAGCCATTTTCAGTGGACGCACTCACTGAAATGTTCAGACAGATGAGGCCAAATATAGTGGCCCTAGAAGAGCCAGTAATTGGCAAAAGAATAATCAAGGAGTCTTGAATGGATTCTAAGTTACGAAAGCAAATGGCCAACATTCA